AAAATAATTAAAGCCAAGGTAGTTGCTGCCAGATTCCAAGTCACAGTGACTTGGAGTCTGCTTAGTGTTAACTATAGGAGAAGGCAAGAGAACTATGGGCCTCCTGTGCATAAGCAATTTTTCGCCTTTTAAGAGTTAAGCAAATATTGATTGCAGCCCGTTTGCTCTGAATCTTACTCAGATTCAGTACTGTTAGGAATTTCAAGAATGGGAAAGTACTAAACCTATTCAAATGCTGACTAATACACTGTACGTATTGGGTCTGTGACCATATGATTCCTTTCTTTATATCTTTCAGGCATACCAACGTTTACAAATCCAGCAGCAAATGTTACAGGCTCAGCGTAACGTTTCCGGACCCATCAGACAACAGGAGCAGCAAGTAGGTTTCACTCAATTCCAGATGTACTATCAGAAGAGAATCTTGTATGGTATATAACAATGACTATTTATAAAATAAACATTCTGTGATGCATACTTTTATCCAAGAATAAATCATTAATTGTACAGGTAGTCCTCGACTTATGATGACAGTTAGGACTGGAATTTCCATTGTTAAGTAATGCAGTTGTGAAGCAGTAATCTTATGACCACATTACTTAGCTATGTCAATCCCAGCAGTCTTCATTGATATCGTAATCTAGACGTCCAAGTCATTAAGTGGAAAATAGAAATAATCCTGGGTAAGGAGTGCATGGTGCCGTGGAGGGTCACCACAGGCCATGCACAAATTTGGGGTTGCTGCAGTGCAGCAGAGGAACTCAGTGAGCCTGGGGAAAAGGGGTGCAAGATGTGTGCATCCATGTGTGTGACTGCAGGGAGACCAGGAAAAGAATATGTTGCGGTTTATGGTACACTCTGGAATTGCAAAAAGCCTCTGTGCTTCAATGCAGCATGAAGCCCAGCCCAGCAATGCAGCACAAAGAGGCTTCTTGTCATGCCATGGTTGTGAGGCTGCAAGAATCCATAAGGGGCAGCACATCTCAAAGCCTTTCACAGTATGCAACCCAGCCCCAGCCCAACATCATAGCATGAAGGGATTTCTTCTACAAGAACCCCTAAGCTGCATCTTGAAGCCTTTGCAGTACAAATCCCAACCCAGCTCCAGCCAAGCAGAGTGGCACAAGGGGCCTTCTTCCCTGTTCCCCGGTCTCCACCATCTTTTGTTTGTTTGTTCTGTGCATGTGTACAACAATTTCAATTGAATTGCGCACGCGCGCATAGCACGCACACAAGCAAACTGGCAGTAATACCATCTAGAACCCACCCCTGAGCCATGTGTGACCTGGGGAAGAAAGCTGAAAGGCCACACCAGGCATATGCAGAAGGAGACGGTGATGGGGTGCCAAGGACCACAGAATACAGGTGATCCAAAGGGCATAGATTTGGGGGGGGGGGTGTTATCAGATGGAGGGAGTTGAAGCACCCCTGTGTGAGGCACCAAGCACATGAATTTTGATCAGGTGACTATGGTGATACTGCAGTGGCCATAACTTTGTGGACCAATTGTAAGTCCATTCAGCACCACTGTAACTGAATGGTTGCTGAACAAATGGTCATAAGTTGAAGACTACCTGTAAAAGCAGATTTCAGGTTCTGTAACCTATGCCTGACACATCTGAATTTTCACCAATGAGTTTATTGCTAGTGTAGCTCTTTTGTTCTCAGCACAAAATCATAATCTTTGGGCCGTTTTCTTTTTTTAAAATTGTTATTATTTATTTTGTAGGTTGCACGTACAATCAATAACATGCAGCAGCAAATTCAGCAGCACCAGCGCCAGCTGGCCCAGGCCCTGCTTATGAAGCAGCAGCCGCCCCCTCCACACCTATCTTTGCACCCCTCTGCAGGCAAATCAGCCATGGATAACTTTTCACCCCATCCCCAAGCTCCTGGCCTATCTGATCTGCAGACCAAAGAGCAACAGTCTTCACCGAACACCTTTGCTCCTTACCCCCTTGGTAAGTGTGGTTTTTGTAAAGGACTTTACTGCTCATAATTCATTAATAATATTCTTGCTCTCTTGCTGTCCCTCCTCCCCCCACTCTTTCTTCCCCCCTCTCCCCCCTCATTATTGCTCAAGTCTTTTTGCCTCATTCCTCACTATCAGATTCTGCTTCTGTCTTTTTCCTTCTCTGTCAAGAGTAAAATGTAGTCAATTCCTATTCACAACACTAGGTGTCAGCAAACACAAAACTTTCTATTTGGGAAATATGAATGAATAACCTGGTGGCCTCTAATTTTTTTTCTGTATTTTGTTCCCAACCAGTCTTTGATCATATAGATTATGAGAATTAGAGTCCAGAATATCCGCAAGTTGTCCGATTGCCTCCTCATGGATAACTAAAATTCCACATGCTTTGATTCTGTCTTCCTTTATCTCTTCTTCTCCATGTTCCTTTTTTATGATGATGTAATTACTTAATCCAGGACACAGCAGTGCAGAAACGTAAGGATGGTGGATCCCTCATGATCCTCATAGATCATGTCTCTAAAAAAATAAAAACATACTATAGTTGAGCTCAAATCCTAGAGATTAGATTCATGCAATTTTCTTGGCAGCATTATAAAAGTGTAATCTTTGGAAGAATATATTTTTAACTCCCTAATCTAGCAAATATAGAATATAAACTCTCTACTGGTTTCCAATCCATGTATTTCTTATATGTAACAATCATTTTTTAGATAGTGAAGATAACATTCACAGGTAAAAATCACCATGCAAATTTTCAGTAAACAGATCTAGACTTCTGCTAGTTGTCCTGTATTTGAACATTTTTTTCCTGGCTTCAGACTTAAAGTGACTTGGAAGAGATGAATACAGTGGACCTCCTAGTGGCATTTGAAATACTATACTTAATATTTCTCTGGAGTGCCCGGCTGATACAAAATTTGCTAATGCTATTTGTGCTAAAAAGTCGCCATTAACCTTTGGAATTCTTCATTTTGTCACATTTATTTTTCAACATCTACAAAGTTGGTTAAGGAAAAGATGTGCAAAACCTTATATCCTCTTCCTCTTTTCAGAAATATTACTCTTTTGTTCCTATAACACCAGGAAGATTTCTCTGGTAGTATTAAAATGTATGATCTTAGAATGATAGAAAGTAGACTCCATATCAGCAAAAGAAAAGATCCTTTTACATTCGTATGTTGAGTTTTTAGAAGTAATGAAGTGAGCTAAGATGATATTTGATTTTTTTCCTAGTGCTTTATTTCTCCTCCTCCTCTCCTCATTTGCCTTATCAATAGACATATAATGTTAGCTTATGACCTGAAATATAAATTGCCATTAAATACCAGGAATTAAGAAAGTCTGACAGTTTATCCACTTCCTTTTAGCTGGATTGAACCCAAACATGAATGTAAACAGTATGGACATTCCTGGTGGTTTGTCAGTGAAGGATACTTCTCAGTCCCAGTCTCGCCTTCCTCAGTGGACACACCCCAATTCAATGGATAACCTTTCCAGTGCTGCTTCTCCACTTGACCAGAACCCTAGCAAGCATGGTAATGCATATACTTTATAAATACATAGAACCCACTTGTCATAGAACTCTTATTGTAAATATTCTCTGACAGAATATTTGACAGAATCAAAAATAGAATGGAATAAACCAGAATATTAAAATGTTAGATAGATAGATGGGCAGACGGATGTAAAGAGGAAGGAAGGAGGAAGAGAGGGAGAGGGAGAGAGGGGGGGAGAGGGGGGAGGGAGAGAGGAGACAGAGTGAGAGAGAGAGAGAGAATTTTTAGGGTATTATTTGTTTCCTGAGAATAAACTTATTGAACTCAGGTGGAGTTCATGCCTATCTTAGCACTGTTAGAAAATCTAATTTCCTCAGAAATTCTGAGGAATATTTTGAAATATTCACAGAAGGTTTATTTTTTCATTTAAATGAACTACAAAATTATCCTAGAGAACAGAAGATTACTATCAACCATGCTTCCATTATTAATGTAAATTGTATGCAGCTTACAACAGCTGCATCTATAACTCTACTTAAAATAATGTATGATATTCACAATCATTATATTTCAACCTACGCACTAAAATGTCTATTTGGTTACTTGTTCTGTTACAAAATCACATTTCTGAAGTTCAGTTATTACTGTATTCTTTAAAAGAAATACCAGTATTATTTACAGATTGAGTTGTTAGTAATGTCCCATTGTCCTCTTTGTATCCTACAAAAGTGTAGAAAGGTTTCTATTTTTAACTGGATGAATCTTTTGTAGTAACTTTCTGACCTTTCCTAATTTAATCTTCTATCCTTCTATTAAATGCACAGCATCGTATTGCCTTTTGTGACTGAAATGTAGTTTCATTTGTTTTTTAATAGTGAGATGCAATAGGAAACACCAACAACATTTAATATTGTTAATAAGCTTATGATTTCTTGCCTGTACTTCTTCCATTTCCAGGTGCTATCCCTGGAGGTCTGAGTATCGGCCCTCCAGGAAAGTCCTCCATTGATGATTCTTATGGCCGGTATGATCTTATTCAAAATAGCGAATCACCAGCCAGTCCTCCTGTAGCTGTTCCTCATAGCTGGTCACGTGCCAAATCTGATAATGATAAAATCTCCAATGGCTCCAGCATCAATTGGCCACCAGGTAATCTTCAATAAGTATTGTAGAAATGTTGCCTGGAGCTAACAGTCCTTTGTCCTGAAATGCACTGTTGTTGAGAACCCAATGTAGTATGTGCTTTATTTTTTTCAGACCAAAGATATACATTTCCTTACCTAGCATTCAAAATGCACTGGCTTACTTTTTATGTTCCACTTCCTTATTATTTTTCCACTGAATGAAATGAATAATGTTCTTTTGAGGCGTTATCTAAACACTTTGTTTATCTCACACTGTTGTTGAACAAAGCATATAGAACAGTGATGGCTAACCTTTTTGTGGTTAGGTGCTAAAAATGCTAGTGCACACGTGCAATAGCATGCGTGTGTGTGCCAGCACCCATAATGCAAAGCATGCCACCACATGCGCACACACACACACACACACACACACACTCTTTCCTCCCACACCTGCCACATTGCCAGTGTGCTGCTTGCCGCCAAGCTAAGCTTGATATTTCCTCCGGGGGGGGTGTTTTTGCCCTCCCCAGGCTCCAGGAAAGCCTCCAGAGCCTGGGCAGGGCGAAAACAGGCCTACTGGGCCTATCAGAAGTTCAGAAACAAAGTGTTTCCAGCTTCCGGAGGGCTTTCAGGGCCCCGGGGGAGGGCGAAAACAACTTCCCCCAGCCCTCCGTAGAGGCCAAAAATCAGCTGACTGGTGTGTGCATGCATGCTGGAGTGGCTCACGTGCCCGCAGAGGTGGCTTCGCATGCCACCTCTGCCACCTGTGCCATAGGTTTGCCATCACAGATATAGAATGTTAGGAATCCCAGTGGTCTAACAATGAACAGTGATGCATTAGTTCTGAAATTTATAGCAAAATCCACCCACCAAAACTTCCATACATCTCTATTTTCTATGACTCTTGAGAAGTAAAATGTTGATTTCATCTTGTTTTGCCAAACAGAATTTCATCCTGGAGTACCATGGAAAGGATTACAAAATATTGACCCTGAAAATGATCCTGATGTTACCCCTGGAAGTGTTCCTACAGGTCCTACAATTAACACCACTATACAGGATGTCAATCGCTACTTACTCAAAAGTGGAGGTATTGTCACAATCATTTGTCCTTATTGCATTTTTTTTTGTTTCTCTTCTAACATTTGTGGTTTTTAGAGTACATGGCAGACTAAGTTCAGGCTATATACACCAGTGTGCATATTTAATTGGTTAAACCTCAAAACAGCTTTGACAACTAAATCAATGAAATAGTATGATTAGAGGTCCTTCTTCTATAACTGGTTTTGGGGTGTTTGTTTTGTTTTGTTTTTATGGCAGGAGTAGGTTGTACACTAAAAATTCTTCCTGGCTATCTCTGTCTTAAGAAAAGATACTCATTTATAGGTCTTAAGCCCCATCTTGTCTGCTTAACATCACAGCCACATAATGATAAATTATTATTTTTTAATTTTTATCTGAAAAGAAGTAATTGGAGGCAAAACGATGTTGCTTCTTTCCATGTCTAGTTTGATATTCAATCTTGTACAACTATAAATTGAAATACCTGACTTGAAAGATCTGATACCTTGCCTCCTTTAAATATAAGGGGTTCAATGAAAAGAGTTTTTTAATTTCTTTCTGGAGCTTTCAGCCTGTAAGAAAATTAATAGAACTCACTGAAACCTCTTTTCTCTAGAAGTTGCTCTATTTTCCTTGGGACTTAATGAAGATGTGTCTCTCACTATGGTTCCTGTATGGTATAGCATAGAATCATATTTTCAGATCTAAGCTAATATTCTGCAATTACCTGGTTACATCAATAATCAAGATAATAACATTGAGAGAAAATATCATTCTGATCCCAGAATTATAAAAGCAATATTAGTTCTTTTTAATGAGATTTTCACTTTCTCATTTGATCTTTTTCACATATGGTATTAAGCCATAATATATGTCTAAATCCTGTAGAAAAATGTAAGATACCTACAATGTGTGCTGATCTGAAAAGAGAAGCATTTCCTTTTTCTGTTCAGAAAATGGAAGTAATGATCTATCCTCTGCATCTTCATGCAAAGGAATGGATCATTTTCCTCTACTCGGGAAGAGAAAATAAATATTGTTCACTTTCCTGTTTTGAATATAAGACTGTTGGGGTGGGTGGGGCTGATATCAGTGATATTGTCAGGGAGCAGGGAGTAAGGAAAAAACCAAGCTAAGGGTAGCTGCTTTATTTGATGAAAACTTTGCTAACTAATTTAAATTTGTAATACTTCTAAAAGTTCTATTGTGTTGTGACATAAATTATTCATTCTCCCTTTTTGGTGTAAAATGGGTTGCTATATTTCAGAGTGACTGAGGAGCGGGGTTACTCTTAAAATCTGTATGCACTGGTGGCTTGCAGGCACCAGAAGCTGTAGCCTTACTTTATAGTTGAACAACATATTGTATTTGTGAGATAGAATGCCACCAGAAAGAATTTTCTGTTGAAGTTAAAATTTTATGGCCTGCTCAACACTTTTAAGGAAGATAAGCTTGAAATTAACCTGTTGGTTTTATGAATTACATGTGAATTTTGTGGACATGATACAGGGAACTTAGATTTGAGACTCTTGATGAATAATTAATGTGCATGTATTTGTAAGTATCTGGTGCTTTTCCTTCTTTATGTCCTGTGATACTTTTCTTTTCCTTGCTTCTGACACTTCCTGCACAGTGTCTTAATTGTGTTTTTCTGCCAACCTTTTGGCTGATTGAGGGAATTTGAAAAATGCATAGTTTTTCAGCACTTTCCCAACATTTTAGGTGACCGTCAGAAGTAGACTGAAAAAAGTATATACATTTTCACAAAACTTTTAAACAGTTCCCAAGACTTTTAAGAAGTGACCCAGGAGCATAATTTTTAATATGCTAAAAAATGGAAATTAATATTTTCCAAGGAAAATATATTAAATGTTATTCTCAACCAATTTGTCCTTAGAGGACCTTTGCATATCTTTGCATATCTGTTACCCTTTGATCTGAAAAACTTACATACTTCATCGATCTGCTCAATGCGAAAGTGAGCATAAAAGCATATCTATACATTAGTTTTATTCTTTCTCTCCCTGAATTCAGAGATCTATGATGGAACCGTTGCCAAGTTGCATTGGGCTGTTTTGGGTCTGTTGAATTAAAGTCACTGGGGTTCAAATTTGCAAATACATTAGAAAGACATCAACAGTCAAGAGTTTCTGCTGCAGCCTTTTAAATTGTGTAATGGTTTGCTGAATTGAATGGTAATGCTAATTGTGAGGTTTCAGGTTATCTCTATTAATCTTTTCTTACTTTTTTCTTTTCACTGTTTTCACTTTTGTGTCCACTTACTACTGCTACGTGTACTGCAAAGAGTAGCTCTTATGCAGGGGTGTCAAACACACGTGGTCACGGCAATGTCACGTGATGTATAGGGACTTTTTCCCCCTTCACTAAACCGGGTGCGGGCGTGGCCAGTACATGACGCATCCGGCCCATGGGAGTTGACAGCCCTGCTCTTATGTATTTTCTTCATGGAGCAAAAAAAAAACAAACTATAATAGATAGGGAAATATTTTTATTAGGAAGACGATATAGGAGGTACCTATTAAACTTTCTCATTATCTTTTTGGGGGGGGGGGATTTGTATCTTACCTTCTATTTCACTCTAGTCTTTTGTGAAACTTACTGTATTTTATTACTTTATTTTTTTTTTAAAGGAATCAAGGACATCTTCTTTAACCATTGAAATCCTTTAATATTTCACCTTACTTTTCTTATCAATTTTGCAAGACAAAAGAAGTTTTTAAAAAGAATTTGAAACAAAATCAGAGTCTTGTAAAGGGAATATTTGATTGACACATTACAGAAACTTTGCTAACCCCTAGTTTTTTCTCACATTTGGATTCAGAAGGCAAGATTAAGTCATAAAAAACCATCGCCAGCCAGTATCAACAAAGTATGTCAAATAGACCAGTGGTTTATCACTATTGAGGAACATTAATTTAGGTTCTATTATTTAGAAAACATATAATTTGACGCCAAGCAATTTAAAAGCATGCTGTGAGCTTGCCTGCGATTGAAAACACTTTCAAAAGTGTTTCTATACTACTATCTCTGAAAGCATGTTTTGTTGCAAAGGGTTTCTTAATAACAAAACTAATTGCATACTGAGGTAAGCTGAAATAGCTTCATCTTCAATGTCCTTTTCTGATACACAAAAATATGTACAATATGTAGTACACATGCATAGTGTTTGAAAGCATCCTATTCCCAAAACCTTCAGCAAAGGAAAACAGCTAGTTCTGTTATTGTTTCTGTTAGTTTTTTATAGAGGCAAATTTTCTCTAAGCAAAAATGTGGAAAGCTAGATTCACTACCACAGAGATCCTTTTAGCAGGTTGATCACTTCCCTTATAGACTCCTAAATGCATGTGACCCATTAAAAGACTACACTCAAGATTTTTAGAGTACAGTTGGGGGAGGGGGGGTTCCTTCCTTTTTTGCTTTCCTTTGTTGATATGGAAGAACTAATGAGGGTATCGTTTGGTCCCATCTGCACAATTGCTTTTATTCCCAATGTAACGGAATAAAAGCCCTCTTCAGCCCTTGCTTCCTGATCCAGAACAGTTGCACAGTGAAGTGTCAGGGATATTCTGGACTAGATTTCCAAGCAGGTTTTGTACATTTACTGTATTAAGGTGAAATAAAGACTAAAAATACACATTTATGTTTTTTCTTTAAGTCCAGCTGTAAGTATATCATTATATACTTAAACTCTGGATGCAATTGTGTAAATTTAATTATATTATAATTGGGATGAAGTTTAGGTTTTCATTTTTTATTTTCTGATTGTTATATAGTTTGAATATTATCCATTTATGGCTCTGGTATGCAAAGGACACTTTGATAAATAAGGGAGAATGGAGCATCTTTAAATCTATCGGTAGCTCACTTTCTCTATGAAATTTAGTACAAGTTGCTTATGTTTAGGTACAGTATAGACAAGGTGGCATGGATGTTCCATCATGGTCTGTGCAGTGGGGAGTGGGTATAAAACAAGTTTCTACTGAATCCTAATAGCATCCTGTGTTTATAGATGCTGCTTCCACAGAATATCATACCATCCGTTTTCTGTGGAAAATGTATTTATTAATTTGTACTCTAACTTTCCATTCAACAGAATATTCAAGACATCAAGTGTTAAAGTTAAAAGCCATTAAAAGTAATTAGAATACATATAACGAACACTTCATACATGTTCAGTGTTCAAAATGGAAGATACTTGCATACAACAATCACAGATTTTAGAATAATATTTCATAAGCAAACTGTGAATCTCAGACAGATGATTTCTTCATATCCCCTAAGTCAGACAGTCATTTCAGCATTGATCTTTGACTTTAGTTTGTGATTTGCAAACTATTTAAAATGTGGGAGTGGTATTTCTTTCATTCTTGACTTATTAGAATAGATGTTTTTGTTGGTAAAGTAACAATAGTAAATTGTGTATTATTAGTTTGCATTGTTTGGAAAAACTGTATACTAAAGTTTATTTCTTGAAGTGCATAGGTTAGGCAGAAGACATAGGTATAAGAATCATGTTTGCATTTTCTGCCATGGCACATACCTATGCATTGGGAAATAATTTGTGTAACTGTCTGAAACAAGCAGGACAACACATATAGAATTGATGGTTCATAGTAGTGTGATCATCTTAAAGGTGATGGTTTTTAACAAATCTGTTGCATAGAATCTGACATTTGGTTTTCAGTTCTTGCATAATGCAGCAATCATAAATTTGTGTTGTTGTATAATATTGAGTGTCACCATTGTTGTAGCAAGGCTTACTATAATACACATTTCAGCAAAATTTGCAGGAATGTCAAGAGAACAAGATTGGTCAATGGTGGCCATGGCTGGGATGTTTAAAGGCAAATGGGGCAGAGATGTGCCTTTTCTTCTGAAAATACCTACCATAGAATGCAAGGCAGAGTCATCATAATTAACATGGCTGCATTTTCATATTTTTCACATACAATTCGTAAATTGTGGATACAATGGCAGTGAATATCATCTTGAATATGACATAGAGAATATATATATATATATATATATATATATATATATATATATATATATATATATGTGTGTGTGTGTGTGTGTGTGTGTGCGTGCGTGCGTGTGTATGTATGTATGTATGTATGTATGTATGTATGTATGTATGTATGTATGTATATATATATATATATATATATATATATATATACACACCATCATCTTTCTCACCGTGTTGTTCTTTGATAGTGAGTTCACTACTGTACATTGAACCATGCTTTCTATAACATTTCACGGCTAGGCGTCAGGCAGGGTTGGCCTAGCATTGTTTTTGTTTGCATGTGATGGTGTGAGAATTGCATATGCTATCGTAGACACCCTTCTGCCCATCTTTCTTAGTTGCTTCTTTGCTGGTTCTGCAGGGTCATCCCCAACATCATCTCAGAATGCCACGCTGCCTTCATCGAGTGCCTGGCCACTTAGTGCCTCCGGCTACAGTAGCTCTTTCAGCAGCATTGCAGGTATGACCAATGGCCTTTCTCCTAAGAGGCCCCTTGGATAGGAGGTTTTCACATGGCCTCTGTTCTTTGTAGTAACGACGACGGTACAAGTGTACTTCTTTTGCATACTGGGCTCCTTTGTTCAAATGACTGTCCTAAGAATTTAACAGTAGTCAACATGTAATGGGGATATATATATGCAGCTGGCCATACCAGGCTATGCATTGCTTCAGTATGAGAAACAGACATTCTGTATAATGCTAATCTCTGTTAAACTGATTTCAGACATAAACATTTTCTTTAGATACCTAGCATACACACAATTACCAGCAGAAGTTATGCAGCAAAGAACACCACCTATCCAACATTGAGCATTTTATTTTGGAAGAATGACTTGATCCAAAGAGGCGCAGCATCTATTGCTCTTCTGCGCCCTCTCTCCCTCCCTTTCTCAACTATATCTTGTCTTGAAGAGAGTAGTAATAATCAAGATGGTCATAATCAATTTGGGTAAGGCTGAATATCTGCACCTTCTGTGCTCACCTGTCCTCACGCTTTCAAGGTACTGGTAGCTATTTTATTTTTAGACCATTAGTGCAAGTAGGAATTCAGAGACTCATAAGGAGGACATGGGAGAAGGATACTTGAAAGTAGCAACACGCTTTATTATGTATGCTTTTGTCAATCTCTAAACTCTGACACAGTGCTCTTGTTCGTGCTTTTTATCACATTTTCTTTGTTCACTTATTTTTAGCCACCTCAGTCACCAAGAAACTTTAGGTGGCATATAAAGATTAAAAATATATTTAAAAGAAGCATCATGTATCTAACAGTAAGAAAAATATGACTCTCCTACATTGTGGAAACAACAATATAAAGTAACTTATACAATGTGGGATCGTAATGTATATCTTTTGTGTGAGAATAACAGATAATAATCTTGTTCATCTTCTCCTTGTTGTTTTGCGTGATTTAAGGCAAAAATGCCAGCTGTAGTCCTCATCATACAGTCACTAGTATGCACTGATGGCGTTTGAAAAAGCAAATAAAAAAAACCCATGCATAAATGGTGTGTGTTTTATGCACTCAATGGGAAGAGTGGAACTGCCTTTTCTATCACAGTGTGTATTGTATCTCACATAATATTGGACCCAACATTCAAAAATATGCTGGCTACTTTCTTCCTCAGCAGCAGCTCTTAAGTATTTTTTTGTATTTGTGCACTTGCGCATTTGTCATCTTTCAGTGGGACGTTTGCTAATCATAGCTAATTTGTCAACTGAGGTTTCCCCCAATTTCTAGGCTGGAACCCAGAATTAAAGAATAGGAAGAATTAAAGAATTAGAACTAGAATTATACATAATTTCTGGGAACCATCCAAAATACGGCCAGTAGTATAATTCTGTACTACATGTAGTCCTCAACTTACAATAATGCTGATAAAAGTGACTTACAACTGTTTCAGTGTTCCCACAATTATGCAATCGTGATTTAGGTGCTTAGCAATTGTCACACATTTACGATGACTATTGCATTGTCCTATGTCACACAATCACCTTTCCAGCTGGCTTCCAATATGCAAAGTTAATGGGGAAGCTGTCAGAGAAAGTGATATCTCACTTAGCAACTATGGTTATTTGCTTAACGACCATGGCAGAAAAAGGCTAGAAAATGTGATTACATGATGCCTCATTTAACACCCACACTGCAATAATGACTTTTCTGGTCCCTATTCTGGTTGTAAGTCAAGGACTACCTGTATACCTTTTTTAACCAATTCACTAAAAATAAGGTAATTAACATTTCATCAATCCTTCAAAATTGCAATCTGTTATCATAATAATGGGGTCTTGTTTTAGTTTGTAGACTGAACTACCTCAAAGGTTTAGTACAGCCAGCAACAAATGAATCTATTTCTTTCTCTCCACCACATGCACCTTTATCGTTGTTATCCTCACTGATTCAAACTATCTCTAACCCCTTTCACAGACTATCCCAAAGGTGCTTTTTCCAAAAGTTTTTTTCCAAAACCAAAGTCCAGTTGCCTTTTGGAAAAAGCACCTTTGGGATAACCCTGCGCTGGATGATTGATACTCTTCATAGACATCCTTCCACAAACTCATCACAATCTTTAATTCCAGTTAAAGTAATTTTTTAAGAAATTAAGATGTAATTAAAATTGGCAGTTAAAAAATAAAATCTGAAAGTTCTGTTGAATCTTCAATTCAAAAGGTTTTAAAATAAAGAAATAGTTGCCATTTATTTTACCTAGGATGCCTTTTCCTTTGATGGGGCTGTTTATTTCTTTTGGGTAAAACTTGGTTCAAATCCTGAAGTTAAGTTTTCAGAATTTACTGGTTTTGTACAAATAATCGATCTTTCTGGAAAAGGAGAAATCAATAACTTGGCAGGAACCTAGTTCTTACAAGCTACAGCTTTATACTTCGTAAAAGGTTAAGAACTGAGAAAAATAGTAGGAGAAGCCATGCTTAGATGGTGGCATAGCACGAGAGGTTCTTTTGATTGAAACTCAATACTTGCATCAATACCGCCTTCCTTTATAGACTTTGGGAAATATTTCATTGATAATCTGTTACTATATTTCAATTGATTGACATCTAAGAATGGTTTATTCATATGATTGCTATTTTAATTTGTTACTTGGTTGTCTTAATCATCTTTCAGATGTTTCACTATATTTGGTATAGAAATTCAAGTTAGAGATAGTTATGATAAAAACTACTAGGAAATATATGATTACAGGAATAAATCATCGTCATAAGGACTACCTGATGAAAGTTTTGAAAGACACCCCCTCTTTCTTCGTCATTCTCTGTGATAGCTAAGTGGATTAATGAAAATAATAAATGAAGAATCTTCCTTATCTATCTTTCTCTTGCATGTTATCCTTCATCCTCACTTTCCCATTCTCTTTTAATAGGGAAATAAAACTTTCAGTTTTATTTCTATAATTCAGGAATTAGGTTTGTAGAATATACTTTGTTTTTGCTGGGATTCTGCGCTTTAGTAGCCAAAGGAATCAAGCCAAGTGTTGTCTCTGTGAAGCATACACTCTTGTTAATTGAAAGTTACAGGCCCTTTCCCAAAGATCTTTGTGGATCACAAAGTAGCTTCTATGTGCTTCGTGAAAATGAGCAGTTTCTTTCCTTTTCTGTTGGGGGCTAGGAGGGTAAAATGATATATGCTTGAGACTGGTAAATATTTGGATTTATTCCGTAGTTATGATGCCAGATGAATTTCATATTTTTGAGCCTTATAGAGGACATTTTGAGAATCTTTGATGGATTAATGAGACATATAGCAGAACCCCTCCTCCCCAAAAAAGAATTAACAACAAAATTAACAAAGATGAGCAATGTATGAACCACTGTTTGCTTGAAATTCACTATGTTTATATACAGACAGAAGAAACCTGGGGATCCCAAATTGTCCAAAAAATCCACATTCTGACATTCTGAATTGCATTTCTCTATTACAGGTAAATTGTCAGACATCAAATCAACATGGTCTTCTGGTCCAATTTCTCACACACAAGCCTCTTTGTCACATGAACTCTGGAAGGTTCCCAGGAACACTACAGCTCCTACAAGACCACCTCCAGGCTTAACAAACACCAAGCCATCGTCTACCTGGGGTGCCAGCCCATTGGGTTGGACCAGCTCTTACTCCTCTGGTATTCCTGAGTTCTTTCTTCTTCTTTTGACTTAACTGCATCGATTATATCTGCTTTTCTTTAAGAGTTTAAGGCAGCATACATAAGACTTTCTCATCCAGTTTTTCTCCACAAAATGAACCCTGTTAGGGCTGAAAGGGGTAACCAATCTACAGACAGTCAATGAACCTCTTGGCTGAGGGTGGATTAGAATTTGGATCAGCCCAACTGTTTCTTAGCTAAATGAATACAATATATATTTACTTTGTGTTTAAACTTTTTATGTGGAAAATCCTGACCTAAAATTGTAATAGGTTGTGAAAATAAACTTGAGGAACAGGAGAAACCATGGCAAGAATCACATAAATTTAAATTCAAAGCAGAAGGGTAGCTTCAGAAAGCATCTCAGAATTGATGCTCCCTAGTTCTTGTACAGATAAAACAGGGAGGCAGAAGGTGCTTTCAGTCATGCAAGATTTTTTTTTACTATAACTATATAATAAAAGTAACTTTAGCATTCTTTACTTTGATTCCCAAGTCTGGTCCACCTCTAAGGAATTCCTGGCTGAGGAATTCTGGGAGTTGAAGTTCACAAGTCTTAAAGTTGCGAAGGTTGGAGACCCCTGCTCTGAAGACTGACAGTGCAATATTGTCAATGTCAGTCACTTGAGTTCAGATGCATCTACCTTCTGTTTAGAATTTGAATTATTTATTTTATAAACCTATACAGACATACCTATGAATAGATTGTATTACACTCAGATTACCTTTCATAGATAGATATATTGTAGATGATATAGATTATTGATAGCTAACCGCTTTGTCATCGCGTGCTGAAAGCAACACCCATAATGCAATGTGAGTAAAACACACACGTACGCACCCTGTTTTAGCATAGACGGCCTCCCTCAAGCCTCCTGGGACCATAAATGGGGGAAAAGGGGAGCACAGTGCAACACACACACACCCGTGGCCCATTTTGGGCCTATCAGGTCTCCCTGAAGTTTTATGGGACCAAAAATGGGGCACAGGGGGGGGAGCATTGCACCCCATGCTCCCCCACACCCCTGTGAATATGTGTGCGACACCCCCACCGCCGCCACCCCCTGCATGTGCACGTTGTCTCCCACGTGCCCCCCCCCGCACATGTCAAGACACAAAAATCAGCTGGCTGGCAGGAGGAGTGCACACATGTGCAGTGCAGCTGGCTGGGGCAGTGACTCAAGTGCCTGCAGAGAGGGCTCAGCGTGCTACAGGATTGCCATCACGGATATAGATATATAATGTATGGCTTAGAAAACACTATAGAAATGTCAACGTCTGTATTGAAATGTATTTTATTGTGGCTTTCATCTGGTAAAACATGCTTTCATTCTCTCTTCACATTCTGTTCTGCTTTTACTCAATTCCTTGTTATCCTCACATCAATCAGTCAGCCTATATCAGACTATATCACTCTCAAAAGACTGTTGGAACAGATGTTCTCCCCATCCTCAATTTAGTGTATTTCTGCAAATCTCAGAGGTTTCCAAGCAGGGGATATAAGTGTGGGTGTGTATGTGTGTGGGTGTGGGTGTGCGCGCTCACACAAACCTATACATATGCATATACATATACCAGTATATATATTGGATCAAACTTTCCAACCAGAAATTCTGGGGATTGTGAACCAGTATATCTGAATATACTGTATATATAGAGATCTATCTTTATCTATTTATTTATCTGTCTGTCTGTCTGTCTGTCTACCTACCTACCTACCTACCTACCTACCTACCTTCCTACCTACCTCATGGCTATCCTTCAAATATACTGGTTCACAATCCCCAGAATTTCTGGTTGGAAAGTCTTGAATTTGATCCAACATATTTGTAAAGTATCATATTGGGTAAACCTAAATAATGCATTGATTCTATTTATGACAAGCAAAATTCCACAGTGAGGAATTAGATTTGAATGGAAGAGAGGAAGACTAGCAGACATTTGCTAAATCTTCTGATCCAAATATATTTCCCATTAGAAATTCTTGTAGAAATTGTATTCATCAGGTTTGTGTCCTGTATCTTCTGTTCTTCTTCAATTGNTTGGCCAATTTCAAAACCATTTTGCATAAGGCTAAGTTAGCCACCCGCATGGGGTCTACCCCCCCCCCCGGTTCAAGCTACTGCTGATCTGGAGGATTTATCTGGGGATTTGTTTGAGGAGCCTGTTTTGGCTCAGAAAATCGTGCCTGTCCCCAAACTCTTACTTGATTTGGTTCAGAAGCAGTGGGCTCAACCAGCCACTATGGCTACCCCCAGTAACAATGATAAGAGACTGTACATGGTAGATGCTAGTCTTGAGGATCTCCTTAAGCGGCCCCCATCGATCCTCCTGTGGCGGCGCTTACCTCGACCTCCGTGCTTCCGCCCGACTTTCTGGAGGGTCTCAAGACTGAAGATAAAAATGCCTGCCACAAGACACGTTAGGCTGCTGCATGGGCGATTCAGACATCCGCCTCTGCCTCTTTTCTCTCCAGGGCCGCTCTCCTCTGGTTGAGGCAGCTCTTGGCCAGAGTTCCAGTTAGGGACACCAAGTTGTGCCAGGACATTAATAAGATCATCGTGGCCACAGAGTACACTGCGGATGCCACCCTAAGCGCAGCTAAGTTTGCCTCTCAGGCCCTGGCTTCTAATGTTACCACCAGGCGTTTCTTGTGGCTGAGGCACTGGAACGTTGATATGCGTTCCAAGTGGAAGTTAGTGTCTGCTCCCTTCAAGGGTGACAAGCTTTTCAAGGAGGTCCTGGATCTGGTCCTAGTTGAAAACAAGGACAAAAAGAAGGTGATGCCGTCGGTTACCAAGAAATCTGACAGGAAGGGTTTTTACTCCTACAGGGCAGCCCTTTCGGAACACGGAGTCTTCCTCCGGCTCCGCTCAGTTGCAGAGGCCTTTTAACCAGCAGTCAGATAGCCCCCAGGATCGCCAGTCTTTCCGGGACAGGGGTCGCCAGCAGCACTATTCTCATCACCCCTTTCGAGAGGGCTCTGGTTCCCGCCCCTTCAGGAGGTATAAGTGACTGTCACTGGTCGGCTCCCATTGGAGGGTGGCTCCAGTTGTTTCACGCCCAGTGGGAGCAGATCACGTCGGATCAGTGGGTCTTGCAAACAATCCAGCTGGGACTCACGTTGGAGTTCCTCTCCCCTCCCCCTCGTCACTTCATCAGATGCCCCGTTCCCTCATGCCCGGTCAAACGGTCCTTCATTGAGCAGGAAGTCAGGCACCTCAGGGAGATCAGGGCCATAGAGCCAGTTCCAGCAGGACAGGAAGGGTCAGGGTTTTACTCTATCCTGTTCCTGGTTCCCAAAAGCTCCGGGGGGTGGAGAGGGATCCTAGATCTAAAGAGGTTGAGCTACACATCACCTATCGGAGGTTCAAGATGCAGTCCCTCCAATCCATTCTGGGCTGCATCAGGCCGGGAGACATCTTGACCTCCATAGATCTCAAAGAGACCTACCTCCACGTTCCCATCCGCAAAGACCACCGCAGGTACCTGAGGTTCACCTACGCAGGTCAGCACTACCAATACCGAGCCCGGCCTGTAATCGGCTCCCAGGACATTCACGAAGATCCTCGCAGCAGTGGCGGCTTTCCTCAGATCCCATCCGGTGCGGCTGCACTGTTACCTGGACGATGTCCTCCTTCAATCGTCATCCCACCAGCAGGCGGTCCGAGACCTGCAATACACGATGCAGGTACTTCAAGACCACGGTTTCTCCATCAACTTGAAAAAGAGTCACCTTCATCTGACGACCAGGCTGCAACACCTAGGGGCCGTCATTGACCCCGTCACCTGCCATGTCTTCCTGTCACAGGAGAGGGTGGCAAGCCTCAGAGAGAAGGTCGCACATGTGCAGCAATCCTCT